CACACCAAGTTCTACCTGCAGCCACATCTCTTTTTAAAAAAAATTTTTTTTTGAGACACAGTCTTGATCAGTCACTACGTTGCCCAGCCTGGGCTCAAATATGGCGGTCTTCCTGCATCAGCCTCCTAGAGTGCTAGGGTTGCAGGCATGCATCACCACATCTGACAGCTAGCTCCTTCTTGAAGGTTAGTGCAGGTTCCTTTCCTCCTGGGAAGCTCTGTGGCGTATTTCCTCAGCATTGTCTTTAGCTTTGAGGTTGCTCCACTGATGTGGAGACCCCCTGGGTTCTCCGCATCAGTTTGGGACACGTTTGCCTGGGCTTTCTGCTCCTAGTCACTCCAGGACTGAAGGACTAGCACACTTCAGTGCTTTACCCAATGGATGCTTCTTTCCTTTCCTTTTGTGTCCTGTCTTGTCTTTTCTTTTTTGAGACAGTCTCCCTATGTCATTTAGGCTGGCTTTGAACTCACTGTGATCCTCCTGCCTCAGCCTCCCTAGAGGAGTGCTGGGATCCCAGGCATGCCCCCATGCCAGTTGCTACTTTTCTTCCTCAGATACATGCTGGGGAAGAAGATGAGCAGCACGTTTTGAAATTAGAATAAATAAATTAATTGGGAGTCAGCCTTGCATTGTTAGTTTTACCATCAGGATTAAAAGGAAAAACAAGGTTGCCTTCACTTGATAGTTGCAGCAGGGAGATGCTATTTACCAGGGATGTCTTTGAAGCATAAATAAACAAAACTGGATTTGAAGGGACTTGGTTTAAATTTGTTCTTGAAATAGAGTTTATTTTTAAAATTTTTTTTGGTACCAGGGATCAAATTCTCGACCTTGTGCTTGCCAAGCAAGCGCTTAGGCCACTGAGCTAAATCCCCGGCTATTTATTTTTCAGACAGGGTTTTGCCCCGCAGCTCAGGCTGGCCTTGAACTCACGATGGAGCCCAAGCTGGACTTGCACTCATGGCGATCCTCCTGCCTCATCCTCCTGAGTGCAGGATTACAAGTGCAAACCACCATGCCTCCTTGGGGACATGGTATTTGGATCTAGGTTTATAAATGTTCCCTTCATCCAGCTGCTGTAGAGCAGCCCCAGAGTTGAGAAAGGTTTCAAAAGCCAGGCTGTGGTGGCAGTGGGTTCTGTTTGCACTGTTTGGCGCCTGTTTTTAACCCGGGTTCTGCTGCAGAGGGGCAGGGGCCTGAGTGCTGGAGGTGGCACTCTGTGCCTGGTGCTGTGAGTTCTTCTAGAGCCGAGACAGGCAGGACGCGATCATGACAGGTTGCTGCCCTGGAGTGGCGCAGGTGTAGCCCTTCCACGCTGCGGGTGGCTCAGGATTGGCTGTGTGGCGGTGCCCGTCCTAAGTGCAGAGGTCCCGGCTGAGTGCAGAGGTGAAAATGCTCTTCCGTGCTGGCAGCTTCAGCGTAGATTTGTGTGTTAGAGCAGCAGCACGGAAGACTTAGGGTTCAAAGAGAAAGCATTTAAACAGATTCATTAAGGGCGTCTCTGTGACGCCCAGGGATGTCACGTTGGGGCCGGAGCTATGGGTGAGCTTCCCCCTTGCTGTTCATGATGGGATGCTTAGGTCTGGAGAAAAACCCCCAAAACTTTGTGGCCAGTGCCTGGATGCCCACCCAGATGCTCAGCACTTGTGAATGTGCTGGTCCTAGTCCTTTCCGCTCTGAATTTGTGGATGTGCATGTATGTGTGTGTGTGTGTGTGTGTGTGTGTGTGTGTGCAAGCATGTGTGTGCATGTGCGTGTGTCACTGTTTGACCATTTGAGTGTGGGTAAAGGCACCATGACATTTTTACGCCTCCTCTCCCTGTTGACTTCTTTTTTTTTTTTTTTTTTAATTTTTTTTTCTCTTTTTCCTTTTTATCGATACCGGGGATCAAACTCACGAATGCCTGCTTGCAAGGCAGGTGCTTATGCTGCTGAGCTAAACCTCCAGCCCCTTCCTGTTGACTTCTAACACCTTTCTCATACATAATTTCCCTTCCACTCAAAAACCAAAGATGAGCAACGATACAATATCATCCAATTTCTATTTTTTTGTTTTAACTTTTCTAGTGATCTTTCATGTATTTTTTTTTAATCAGTACAGGGGATCGAATTCATGACTGTGCACTTGCAAGGCAGGCACTTAGGCTGTTGAGCTAAATCCCCAGCCCTCATGTATTTTTTTTATTTTTATTTCCAATTTAATATTATTTTTCTCAGTACCAGTGTGTAGTGCAGTGTTTACCTCCCTCGTGTGGTGTTGGCACCTGTATTTGACACGCCTTAATTTCTTTTCATCCCCTCCCTCTCTCCTCTCCTTCCCTCCGCCTCTTCCCCTTTGAGAAATATCTATCTCCCAACTTCTTACTATCTTGCTTCTTATTTATACTTTGGGTTTCTTATATGAAACAAACCATGTGATATATTTATTTCACCGAAGGTTAAGGTCTCAAGATGCACTCTTTTTTCCTCCCAGTGACTCACGTTTATCTTTCCTGATGAACGCAGTGCAGCGTTCCACTGTGTGTGAGCACCACATTTCTGTGTAATTCATCTGTTGATGGACAGAGGCTGCGTCCAAGATTCAGCTGGTATGAGCTGGCTTTTAGAAGAACCAGACCAATTTGCTGCATATTTTTTTTTAAGTCAGTGCCTAATCTTGGATGTTTCTTGCAAGTGAAAGCTTTAGGGAATTATTTAAACACAAAATAGGCGCTTTCTAGTAGAGGTGTCGCTGTCTGTCCAGATGGCTCTGATCGCTATTCTTGCTGGGCCATCTACTGCAAAATAATCTTTTAGTACTGAAGTAGCCTAAGGCTACAGCGTCAAATGTTTGAACACGTGACAGGCTTGCAAACTGCAAAGCTGGAGTTCTGTGCGACGCCAGCAGAAAGCCCGAGGTGACAACCACTTTCCTAAAGGTACACGCAGAGGTCTGCATCCCATCCCCCCCAAGGTCCCTGTGCCAAGCTCGCCTGCTTTCCTGCTTGCGGGTTTGGTTTGTGAGAAACCCCGTGCCTGTCTGTGGTTGGCTTTTGATCTTACTGGTGCTGGGTTCCCCAGTGCCATCCTCTAGGACGTGTGGTTGAGGTTGTTTTATGCTCAGAGAAAGCAGAACCGAGCCAGTGCGTTCTTTTAGTAGGGTTTAAGGGGAGATGTGCCCAGGTGTGCAGTGCCCAGCGGATCAGAAATACATCTTGGGCCAATGGAGCGAGCAGTTATTTTTCTCTGTTCTAGGTTCTGGCCCATGCAAGCCTTCAGCCCAGCCCCTGCCCTGTGATTTGGGAAGGTGACAGGAATCTGTCAGCAGTGCATGCATCAGGCGTTTGTGTTTGAATTCCAGCCTCCTCTTCTCCTCTTCTCCTGCGGGGTGTGTCAGGTCCTCCCTAGTCCATGTCTGTATCTAGAGATCAGTTTGGCCACCTTGCAGGTAAACACAGTGCGCTGCCAACATAAAGTGACTTAGAAATGCCAGTGCCTGTCATCCGGCTGAGTCGCTAGCATGTGTTTAAGGCCTTTGTGAAACCCAGAGCTGTCACGCCAAGGAATGGGGTGTGCCCAGGCTGCGGATCAGGTGCCTGCTGTGGGCCCTGGGACAGTGTTTCACCGTGTTGCAGGTTAGGCCCTGGCAACCTTCACGGGCCCGGGGTTTATGGATGTCCACGCTCTCTCCTTTGTGAACCTGAGAACTCCTACGTGTGTTTCCAAGTGGGCTCTGGCTCAGGGACAGTCTGCGTCTGGGGATGGGTGAAGGGTGTTAGGCCTGGGTGGATGGGCCCGAGTTGGGGCCTCGAGGTAGCAGAAGAGCCCGTGGTCCTCCAGGCTGAGAGGAGAGCGCACTGTTCGGATGGAAAAGCATTTCCGAGAGAGGAGCGTTCTCAGCCTCCCTGCTTGCGTCACTGGCTCCGGTGGGCTGGTGCAGCCACTTCTGTGGCTGTTTTTCGGCAGCCTTCTCCCCGTGATAATGTTGTCATTTCCACTGGGTGGGATGTTGGGATGCCAAGAACCTCGAGATCTGAGTTAAACCCTCTGTGATGTGGTGACAGGGCCTTTGCATCCAGCATTTTGTAAAGGAACAAAGTGGTGGGCGGGTGGCTCTATCCATCTGTCTAAATATTTGTTGGAAAAAGACAAAGGGTTGCATTTTAAGTGTATGTGTTTTCCAGGTGGGAGGTGGCTTGGTGGGAGGCCTGGGGCTCAATCTCTAGCACTAATCGTAAAGTGAATTAATTAAAAATCACCAAAGAGCAGGACAGGGTGATGCATGCCTGTAGTCCCAGCACTTGGGACTGGAATGCTGAGGCAGGAAAACCACCATCCTAGGCTACACAGCAAGTTCAAGGGCAACCTGGACTACTTAGAGAGGCTTTCGCTCAAAACATAAGCAGGAACTCGATTCATATACTTTAAAATTGTTTTCAAAAATGGGCAGTGACAGTGTTACATGTGCCTTCCTACCACTTCATATCATCCATCCTGATAAATCATCAAAGTGTAAAATATAAAAAATACAAACAGAAGCTACCCATGGTTTAAAAAAGGTTCAGATGCAGCAGTGCAAAGAGGAGGAGGAATGAGATCACATCGCTCAGTTCAGAGATGCCCCGAAATCATGGCACCTCACTGGTTTGCATCTGTGGAATGGGTCTGAATAAATACCCTGTGGCAGCACTCGAACTGGATGGCAGGAGGCACCAGGGCCGAGAGGCTGCAGCCCCGTGTGCCTCAGCAGGCAGGGACTAGCATGGGGCCGGGTTGCAGAGACTCTGGGGTTTGAGCTATGGCTTTGCTGCGTCCTTGTGCAAAGTCAATAAAGTGCTCAGGCTCAGGCACAGGAGCCATCTAGCTCACAGGTGCGCGCGGCCAGCTTGTTTGCACGTGTGTGTGCAGGCGCGAGCGTGCATGTCTGTGTCCTTGTGCACGTATGTGTGTGTGTAAAACATGCATCACGCCACGGACAGATCCCCCACAGTGTGTGACCAGACTGTTTTTCCCGTTTGCAGCCATCCTGCAGAGACCGCGCCGGGCATGGACACCTTTCCCCGCCCCTGCAAGAGCACAGGTGGCTGTGTGACCGCCCGGGCACCAAGTCGCTGAGGCCAAGGCAGGAGAGCCCCAGCGCAAGCCATGCCTTTCGGCCTGAAGCTGCGCCGCACGCGGCGCTACAACGTCCTGAGCAAGAACTGCTTCGTCACCCGCATCCGCCTGCTGGACAGCAGCGTCATCGAGTGCACGCTGTCGGTGGAGAGCACTGGCCAGGAGTGCCTGGAGGCCGTGGCGCAGAGGCTGGAGCTGCGTGAGGTGAGCGGCTTGCGGGGACCGCGCTGGGGCCGGGGCTGAGGACCGGGCACCCGCGCCCACCTCCTGGCCCCTGCCAGCTCCGCCAGCCCACGGGATAGTTCAGGAGGACCAGGTGTTCTCCGCGTCGGCCCAGGCGGGACACCGTGCGCAGAGAGAGGACACGGGGACCAGGGCCCTGCCCAGAACTTCTAGAGCAGCCACTGCCCATGTGTCCCAGCCCCAGGGAGGCTTGGAGAGGGGAGAATGGGAGTGCTTCGCGCTAAAGCCACTTTCTGTCCTTGGGGCAGCTGCGCAGGGGCGTTGGCGTCCTGGCACCATGGCTGCGTATTGGGGAAGACGCCCACACGCAGGTGGCTGTGGCTGCTTTTTGTTTGTTTCTATATTTTCCTCTTCAAACAGAAGAGGAGGGGGAGCTCTCAGAGTGAGGCGGGGAGGCGGGGCTCTGGCGTTGGCTCCTTCCAGGACCCTGGTGTCCTCCTCACCTATGTGACAGCTTCAGGGATCACGTGCACTGCGGGCCGGCCGCTTAGAAGGTCACCCCACAGGGCACCTGTGTCTCCTGGGCTTTGTGTGCAGACTTGGGCTTTGGTGGCCGTGCAGGCTTGGAGGTTTATTTTCCTGGTCAGTTGCCTGTCCTGGACCTCAGGCGTCACCCGGGGCTTGGCACAATCTGAGTCCTGGCCTGGTGTGTCTTTTGCTTACAGGTGTCACATATTTAAACACACATCTGCCCACATGCAAGGGCACAAAGGAAGACCCTGCCGCTGTGGCTTGATGGGGCTGGACACTCATCTGAAGCCTTGTGTGACTTTACTCACAGACTATTTGAATAGCGATTCTGCTTTTGCAGTCAGATTTGCATCAAATTAGCTAAACATCATTTGCACGCAGCAGCGGGGTAGAGAGTAACGTGTGATTACGTTCTAACTCAGGCTTGGACTGGGATACTGCTCCATTACCCTCTTGCTTCGTGGCCTTGGAAAGTGACCCTCCTTGCGTGTGGGTTTCCACACCTGTGAAATGGAGATGAGGATGATGATTTCACAGAGCAGCTGTGGCTTTTAAAATAGCTTCTGTGTGGGAACTGCGTGCTGCTGTCTAGTAATCTGTAATTGTTTCAGCACTAATGTGTTACAGATCAGTTTTAGGCAGATCCCATTTCTAAAACACGTGACAAACGATAATCAGAAGATCCTTTCTGTTTGACTGCAGCGGTACCCAGCGGTTTCCGTGCGTGGTCTTACAGTTAAGGGTCCAGAACTGGACGTGAGTGGTGGGAGGAAAGGCTGCTGCTAAGTGGACCTGGGACCACTCTGCTGAGCCCTGTGGTCAGAAGAGAAAGAAGAGGGGGCATGCAGGGGGCCTGCCAGAGCTGTGGTACTTCTTCCTTGTCCCTACAGTGGACCCTCCAGTTCCAATCGGCCCAGTGCAGGAGCAGCTTGGGTTATGATCGGGACTTAGCTGTAACTTACACCCAGAGTTGTGAGTTATGTCCCACATGCTGGCCGCTTGTGCTTCCGGAGGTCTCAGATGTACACAACCCTCAAAGAGTCCTAGAAGGAGCATTACCACTTTCTTGTTTGGGGTTCATGGAGAAACCCTTGACCAGTGTCTTTCTAGGGCCCCTGGGATCCCCCTGTAGACCAGAGAGGGGGTTTGAAGGGCGCTTAGAGGAGCTCAAGCCTCCCAGTTAGCGAACTGGTTCCCAGCCAGCACTTGGGAACACATTGCGTCCCTGCATCAAGGGTCTACTGTGTTTCTTGAACAGCGTGGTGTCTCGAGTGATTGCTTTGTGTGTGCCTTGTGCTAGGTATGCAGACTCAGCTGAGAAGACAGAGCGTGCAAAGGTATGAGCAGATTTACATGGGTGCTGTGCTATTGTGGATTCTGGCATCCAAGGGGCTCCTGTAATGAATCCTGTGGAATATTTGCACAGTCGTGGTGCTCTGTGCAGGGTGTACCTTTAGGATCGTACCCCTCCCCTCACCCCATGAACTTGCTAGAATGAGGGAGAATAGAGCTGGCCCTGGTGGCCGCCCAGGCTGTGGGTGGACAGGGAGCTCTGCTCGTCCTTCCTGACGCACGCTGCATGGTGACCACGGAGATGAGCATGCTGCTGTGGAGGGAGAGGAGGACAGAAAGGAGCAGCAGAGTTTGGTGGCCTGCATAGGGGCCAGACCACAGTGTCCCCAGCCCTGCTGCCTCAGTGGCTTAGTAGATGGCAGAGTGACCCACCGACCCCAGGCCTCAGGCTCTTGTCTGCAGAGTACAGGGAGCCATAGGGGCAGCCTCCATGGGTCCTTGGGCAGAGTCAGTTGGTTTTGCCGAGATGCTACAGTGTCACAGGGCCTGGCACCTTTGGGTCTGCTTGCTGCATGTCTGGATGGTTTTAATGATTAGAAACCATGATCTGATGTTGAACCTGTAAGTCTCCAACTCCTTGAAGAGTTACTAAAAATGGCACTGTTCACCAACATTCTGGGAGGCTGAGTCAGGAGGATTGCTGCATAATCGAGGCCAACCAGGGCTGTACAGTGAGTTCAGAGTCAGCTGGACTACACAGTGAGACCCTGCCTCAAAACACACATGCACACAAATTTCAAGCCCAGTTTTGTGACTTACTGAGACCCTGTCTCAAAGTAAAAAATACAGGAAGAGGCCTGGGTACATAGCCCAGTGTAAAGGCCCTGAATTCAATCCCAGTACTGAAAACAGAACAAGATTGGAAAGTTCACGCTGTCCAGCATGGTGGCCACATATGCTTGAGCGTGGTTGGCTCAGCGTGTGCTAAGTGTGCATCTCACACCAGACATAGAAGACTTGGCATGGAAAAGAATTCAAATGTTCAGTCATTAATCTGGGAACAGTGGTGCAAACTTGTGTCGCCATGCTTGGGAGGCTGAGGCAGGAGAATTGCTGTGAGTTTGTGGCAGCCTGGGTTACAGAGTAAGATCTTGTCTGAAAAATAAAACAAAACAAAATGTGTACACACACAAGTGTGCATGCACACACACATACTGCCAAAAATGTACATATACAGCAAAAGAAAAACGTGTAAATATTTTAATACTAAATTTATCCAGACATCATGCAGTTAATACAAGTTACCATTGGCCTCTACAATGATAAGAGATGACCAGAGCCGTCATTGTGAGCTTCCAGACGTAGTACAGCAAACTTGGTTCACCTTGATCACTGAGATTGCTGTGCATGCCTTTTTTTGGGAACTGGGAATCAAACTCAAGACCTCTCACTTGCCAGGCTGGAACCATGCACCATGCGGCTGAGCTACATCCCCAGCCCTGTGCTTGCATTTGCAATTTGTTCCCTAAGGGCTGGCAGTATGGTGGCTTTTCTGTGATACACAACACCCTGTTGGGTTCCCTACACAGTAACACTCTGTTAAAAAAAGTCACACTAGTTTTCTTTTCCTAAAGTGTGTGGACATTTTTTGCTGGAGTCTCTCTATATAAATATTCAATAATTAATTTTATATTGAGGACAGGTTGAGATGATATTTTAAATACATCATTTTTCAATAAAATTTATTAGAGGTAAATTTCACCTCGGTACTTTCAAAAGTAGCAACTAGAAAATTTAAAATTGAATACAGGATTCCTATTGTATTTCTAGTCAGTAATAATATTCTAAGAAAGGCAAAAAGGATTTTGTTTCTGTTGTTGTTGTTTGAGACAGGTCCCGCTGTGTGTTTCTGACTGGCCTTGACTTACTGTGTAGCCTGGGCTGGCCTTGAACTCCTGGCGAGCCTCCTGCCTCAGCCTCCCTGGTGCTGGTAACAAGCGTGATAATGGATGCAGTGCAGGGCTTGCTTAGCACTGAGGCTCTGGGTTTGATCCGCCATGCTGCAAACATAAAATCACCCAAGCCAAACAAGGAGTCTTGATAAAGTGTAGAATTGTGCCAGGATGATACCATTTACAGATAGACCTGTTTGTACATTTTTCTTTTCTTTTTGGTCTTTTTTTCAGTTTTATCGGTACTGGGGATTGAACTCACGACCGCCTGCTTGCAAGGCAGGTACTTATGCTGCTGTGCTAAATCCCCATCCCCTGTACTTTTTTCTTAAAGATGGTAAGTGCAAGAGAGAAAAAATGTGTTTAAAATGTCTGAGATGCTCTTCATTGCTAAACCGACTGGACTAGAAAACTGCTTTAGAAATTCCAGAGCTCTAGACAGTAAGTAAATAGACAAACAGTTCCCGGTTTGGGTTTTTAAAGCCCGCCTCCCCTAGCAAATGCACAATCATTTTATAAGTTTGGTAGTTTCCCCCTAATTTGGCCTCTTTTTCCTTTTTTGCAAAGGCGTATTTTCATGTTTACTAAAAGCTCATTTCTCCAGCACTCCCAGCTGTAGTAGGAAATGGAAACTGTCTTCAGCATTGCTGGCGGTTACCAAGAAGTTTCCCAGGCATTCCCTCCCATGGAAGAGAAGTGCACTGGATCTGAGCTCAGCCTGAGCAACGTAGTGAGACCTGTCTCAAAGAAAAGTAAAATGGCTGGGCAAAGGCATTGGGAGAGAGAGAGAGAGAGAGAGAGAGAGAGAGAGAGAGAGAGAGAGAGAGAGAGAGAGTGTCAGAGTCACACAGAGAGAGATAGAGACAAGACAGGCAGGCAGGCAGGCAGGCAGGCAGGTAGAGAGAGGAGGGAAAGAGAAGGAAGGGAGGGAGGGAGGTTGGTTGTGTTATATTATTAAGGATGCTTGTGTGGTTTGAATATTTTGTTAATCTTTTGGCAATTTTTACCCCTGAGTGATTTGGGGAGTCCACGATTAACTGGAAAAAAAATCATCTCTCTGGCTCTATCCAGTAATTGTGCTGTACATTGCAGTTCTTTATGCTCATCTCCATGACTGGACCCTCACCAAAGATTGAAACAGTCAACAAGGATTCAGACTCTGCTAAGTGTCAACTGGAGCAGATGCCTGCTCTTCGGATCGCGCGTTATTTTTGCTTTGTAGAGATGATAATGTGCAATGTACTCACCTCACAGGGCCTCGGTTTTCTCAGACTGGGGAGTGTGGGTGAGATGCTTGTAAGGAATGGAGGCTTCTTTCTTTCTGTCTGTCTTTCTTTCTTTCTTTCTTTCTTTCTTTCTTTCTTTCTTTCTTTCTTCTTTCTTTGTGGCTATTGGGAATCGAACTCAGGACCTCATGCTTGCCAGGCAGGCAGGGCTGAGCTACCTCCCCAGCCTCCTCCTCCTTAATTGATAGCTGAAATACCACATAAAGCAGGCAGCTGTTACAGTGTAATGCAGGTTTTTGTTGTTTATTTATTTTTTTGAGATAAAAATCACTCTGTATTTCAGGTTTGCCTTGAGCTTACTATGTAGCCCAGGCTGGGCTTGAACTCATAGCAATCCTCCTGTCTCAGCTTCCCGAGTGCTGAGATTACAGGTGTGTGCTTCTACCTGTGAGATATTTTAATAATGTGAAATATTAATACTCAATGTGAGATATTTTCATACTTTTACTTCTGGATGATTCTTCAAAATATATCCTTTAAGATCAAGAGTTTAATCTCCTCACACCATTGGTCACAAAACTGGAAAAACAAAACTCAAAAAACCTCTCATTTATAGTTAATATGCAGAATCTTATCACATCTTTACAAATAAATGAATGAACAAGTCCATATCACCTCAAGTTATTTATTTATTTATTTTTTTGTCTTTTTCCTTTTTATTGGTACCGGGGATCGAACTCACAACTGCCTGCTTGCAAGGCAGGCGCTTATGCCGCTGAGCTAAACCCCCAGCCCCTCCTCAAGTTATTTTTAATAGATTTTTGTTTTGCTTTGCTTTTCGAGACAAAGTCTTGATACAGTTCAGGATGGCTCTGAACTCACTATATCATCCAAGCTGGCCTCAAACTCATGCATGGATCTTCCTGCCTCAGTTTCCCCATTGCTTGTTTGATTGCTGCGCATATTTAGTGATTGGCTTCTCTCTCTGGGGACTGACGCTTTGCCTTCTTTTCTCAGCCCTGTGCCAGCTTGGAGCCTTGCTCCAAGGTGGCATGAGGGTCAGAGGGCCTGGCTTCTGTTTGCTGCCTCAGACCTGCAGTGTTTTGGGCACTTCCTTGGGGAGTCCCCTGAGGTCCTTCTGGTCACAGCAGAGGTGGCTTCTATTTGGAATCCTCAGCCACATTTTTCTCAGTCGCATGGCTGCATTTGGTAGTGAAGCCTAATGAATTGGATATCACTCCCGCTTAGCTGGGCAGGCTGAGGAAGCACAGGCCTGGGTGGATGGGGTACTGGTCCCTGGGACAGTTCGAGGGAGCCGGTGGGTGCTGGGCTGTCCGCTTCCATTTTCGGGAGGCACTGTGGACTCAGCGACCTGAACAGGACCGGAGGCGAGAGAAGCCCTTGGAGGCTGGGTCTTTCCACGCCATAGCAGGAACACAGCTGGGGGGCCATGAGCCCAGCAGGGGAATAGGTATCCATGGCCTTTCCTTCTCAGAGATGACAGGGGGTGCAGTGCTGCAGAGTGTCCCGGCTGCCAGTAGGCTGAGGCTCTGTGCTGTGGGCGACCTGCTCCCCAGCGCCCCCTTCCCCTGAAGCCCAGCCCTTCGGGTCCTTCTGCAGCAATCCCATCGGGTCATTGCATGCTGACACCCTCTGGTATGCTCGGCATACTCTGGAAAATACTGTATTTGGGCCACAGAAAAAATGTCACACCACAAATTAGGTTTTTCCACTTGAAGTGGTTTGCTTTGTGTTTTAGAACTGCATGCTATTGCTACCTTACTCTGAGTTCTCCTGGACCCCGTCACTCTGTGTGTGTATGGGTGTGCGTGTGCTGGTTTGCATATGTACGTGTGCTCTCCAAGGCATACTTCTTGGGCTCTGAGTGGTTTTTTTTGCAGAAGGTCAGGGCTGTCTTCATTGTCCTGCATAGGTGGTGTTATGCCGTGTCTAGATGTCCCACCAAAGCCACACAGGGTCATAGATGGGGCTTTTTCAGAAGTGGCTGGATCTGACTGTGTGATGCTGGGATGGACTCATGGTGCGTTGCTAGAGTCAGGGCAATGGGGTTAAGGGTGTGAGTGCTGCCCACCTTGAGTGACATGGATAAGATGTGAGGGACAGAAAGAGCTGTGGTCGCCCCGAGTTGTTTCGCTGCCTTCTGCCCGCTGCGGATTGTTTCTCCTCTGTGATGTCAACCTGCCTTGGAGCCAGCCCACGATGGACTGAAACCTCCACAAACTGTGAGCTAAAGAATCCTTTCCTCCTTTCACTTTGTATATTGAGTATTTTGTCTCAGCAAGGAGAGAATAGTAACTAAAACAAGTGGGAATGGAAAGATATTTGAAATAACTCTTCTTCAAGGCACAACAGCAATAAAAATACTAATTTCTTCCCAGAAAACAATCAGTTGTTGAACGTACATGCAATACAGTGGGTGCTTCATAATCTTGAGTGTTCTTAATTTGAATGAATATTATAATTAGAATGAAGTGTGGACCATAAAAATACCTCCCAGATGTCAAAACTACTTTTGGTGAAAGGTAATAAATCACGATTAATTGGTTAAGCAGTTGTGCAGCTTGCTTTCCTTCCCTCCACCCATGCTTTAAAAGGGCTTCTTTCCAACCATAATAATTATGACATCCCATGTTATGGTTTGTGACTATTACCTCATTCATTATATGCAAACTCTCCTTGTCATCCATGCAGCTTGAGACCCTTTTATGGCTCTGTCTTCCACGCAGGAATTCAGTGTGATGTGCAGCTGGCTGGGACTCTATTTAGCTACATTTGCGGAACTGAGTGCCCAGGGGACGTCATTTGGAAGCCTAAACCAGTATCATCTGTTCCTGAGGATAACATCCGATTTATGTCCCAGTGTCCCGTAAACACCTATAATGAGACTGAAGAAGAACGTAGCGGATCGACTCCTGTGCAGTTTTCTTACATCTCTTTGTGTTATTTAGAGTTGGTCCCTCTTCTTCTTTTGTCTGCTTCTTCTCCTTTACTTCTGACACCCCCTGTTTTCTAACTGTGTGGTTCCTAAGCATCCAGGCAGCTTTTCATCCCTGTAATGATTGCCTGAGATAACCAGCTTGTTAAGAGAAAAGGCTGATTCTTTGTTCCATAGTTTCAGAGGTTCAAGTCCATGGTCAGTCTGTTGCTTTGGGTCTGCAAAAGAGAAGAGAAAGGTGCAGGGTTCCCCATTCCTCAAGGGCCTACCCGAGAGCCTCCACAAGACACTGCCTCTTGGGGAGATTCCACTCCTCTTTCTAGCATGAAGCAGACCAGGCCTTTAATACCATCCCAGATCCAAACTGTGGCAACAGAGACACCAGAGTGCTGATGAAAAAGACTCATTGGGCCTCTCACCTGCCTCCATTCACCAGTGAGGAAGGTGGTGATGATGATGATGGTGGTGTAACAGCTGTTGTGGCCCCTGCTCCATCAGCCACAGAAGATATCATTGGTGCCTATCTGTCCGGCATGCAGCTTACAGGCCTTAGCTAAGTTGTGTGCCTCATAGCTTGTGGGTGAGCATCATCCTTGTTCCCATTTTACAGATGAGGAACTGAATCTCTAGGGCTCAGTCAGTAACTTGCACCCAGCTCCTGAGGTGTGGAGCGCAAGAGCTGGGAGAGAAACTTAACTGGCTTCTAAGCTCATTTGTTTTGTGTCCAGCCCCAATCCATCTTTCCAGTGTTGTTACTCTTGTTGGGCCACTGGTAGATTCACTGAAGCTCGGTGGTGGACAGCAAGGGCCTCCAAGTTGGTAGAAAGATGCTCCGGGCTGGGGGTTGCATTCTGTAGCTAGTTTCTGATGTGAATGTGCCCTTTGGAACACTGTAGACAAAAATGGGTGGGATTATTGTATCTTTCCCACAATAAATGCACTGAAAGTATCCTTTAATGCATCTCAGTCTGCAGCCTAATGTGGGCAAGAGAGACAGACTTTCTGGTCCAGTGAGAGTTAGGGTTAGGGTGAGGGTCAGGGCAGGGACTGATCCTTGGTACGCTGAGTGGGCAGCCAGCTGGGGCGGGAACCTAGGTGCAGGAACACCTCTGCACAGTCAATGTTGCAGTGAAAACATCCTTTTGAAGGCGGGTTTCCAGGTGTGCTGTGAACCATTCCTAGGCTATAATTGAAATACAAAAGCACCTTCAAAGTGCTGATCTATCTATTTGGTGATTATTGTGGTAATCCTGAAATCCTAGCATGAATTAATATAAAGACAACATCGGTTGCATAAAAGTACCCATTTTAAATGATTTAGCGTGTTGTTCAAAACTACACCGGTTGAGGGTTCAAGTGTGAGAGTGAAAAATCTCACTTTAGTCTATCAAATCCCACCGTAAGCAGCCATGTGGGGCTCTGAGGCAGCTGTAGGACAGGGGTGGCTCCCATTCCCAACCTGGGGTCTGCAGAGGGATTTGCTGCAGTTCATGTATAATAAAGGGGAATGGGACAGTGTTTTTAAAGTCCTTCATTAAAGCTCGAAATGATGAAATGCATTTTTGCTTACAGTCTGGTGCTCTGTGCAAATGTGCAGTGAGGAAGTTTTCAGCTGGCCGGAGGTTTTGTCTTTGGCGTGGGGCGATGATTGATCTCCAGCAGGTGGGAGGGCGGGGACCGTGCAAAAGCAGACTTCATATCTTAGGAAAAAATCACTGTGCTCAGCACCCTGTGCGACCGTGTTCCTAGCACAGGTACTATGTGGGAACTCACAGCTGCGGTAGCAGGCGTGGGCAGGGGTGGTACACGTGGCAGCTTTGGGAAGTCATGGCATTGTGTGGCCGTGACTTTTTTCATTTCTGCCATGCTCGAAGACCTTGTGTATAGGCTGAAAAGCAAATGGCGCAGCAGGTGCAGGAGAACCGTTTCCTGCGTGGTCTTGGGATGCCTGTGCTAAGCCCGAGCTGATGAAATTTTCTTCCCCTTTTCATCCAGACGCACTACTTTGGCCTTTGGTTCCTCAGCAAGAGCCAGCAAGCTCGATGGGTGGAGCTGGAGAAACCGCTGAAGAAACATCTGGACAAATTTGCTAATGAGCCTCTGCTGTTCTTCGGAGTCATGTTCTATGTGCCAAATGTGTCATGGCTTCAGCAAGAGGCCACAAGGTAGGTGCCCGTCCGTCCCCCTGGATTCCATGCCGGGGCGTGGGGACTTCCTGCCAGGCCCTGGAGGGGTTGATTCAGTTGTGAGAGCCCAGGGGTGGCCGAGGGTGGGGTTGTTTACCCCTTGCTTTGTAGCTGTGAAGTGTAGCTAACCCTGGTGGCTCCCCTAAACCTGGGGAATCAGCGGTCACCCTGCTGAGCCGGGTGGAATTTTGTGTCTAGCACCATAGACAGTGTGTTTGTGGCAGATGGTGGATAAAATGGATCTGCTGGATTTTGATACAGATTTAGCCCCCAGGATGTTTCGTACGCCTTTCAACCCAGAGAATCCCTGAAAAATGTAGCCAGCTATTTTGGATTTGAGGACTAGAGTTTTGATTACCCTGGACCAAGAAGAGGGAATGGGGACCACATAGTCTAGCGGAGGCTGGGGGACCCACCTGCTGTCCTCCTTCTCATCTGTAAAGTAAGGCTTTAGGAGAATCCATGGAGTTCTGATAGTTTATGATTCACTGAGCGAAACAGGTATTTTATTTTATTTTATTTTTGTGGGTGTTCTTGCAATTTACTTATTGGTAAGGTTTTCATGAAAATACCCAAGGGTCACCTCTGCCAGGTGGCTTTCCATCAGGGAAGGGAATTGCAGAAACCCTCTGACTTTCCTTGTTTGCTTGGTTCCTGGCACCCAGAGCACTTGGCAAGGACCAAGTGATGTGTGCAGAAGGAGGTGCTGGCACAATGTTCTATGTGACTTTTACTTACAGAGTTTTACAGATCTTAAATTTCTGGAATAAAGATGCATTTGAGATTTTTGTGTACATTTATGTAGTCTCTGTTTTGTTTTAAATCAGAAGCCATTATTGAATAGATGGTATATCTGAAAATAGACACCAGGATTTAGCTCACTGAGTGACTCAGAAAAGCAGGAATTCTGCCTGTTGCATGGTTGTCATTTGAAGCCCTCTGATACGGGCACTGCTTTCACGTGATCTCCTTTATCTAAGTTTTTCCTGTGGAAAAAATTATTAAGTCCCTCTGCTGGGGACTTAACACAGGATAAGTGTACAGGATAAGTGTACTTAGAGCTGCGTTGTCTGACTGTTAGAACATAGCATTAGGTTAATAAAGTCAGAGAGTTGCTGAATCTTGGCTCTTGGGCAGTTAAACACTAGGCAACAGGGACAAGGGTGAAGCTCAGAGTATCAATTAGTGCCTGTTTCAAAAGTCTGCAGGAAAAATGATGTGTTACTCAAGACAGACTCACTCTGGGAATGCCTCTGCTGAGGGAGGGCAGGCAGGCCAAATGGCCAGGGCCTGAGAAATGGTGCTTTCTAAAGTCAGGAGTTGAGTAAGCTTCGCAAAATGAGGCCCTCGAGGGCCAGGGGCTTTCTTTAGATGTCTGTAGCAGCTTCTGTGAGGGGGAGTATTGTGTTAGCTCCTGGGCACAGACTGAGGATGCTCAGTAAGGGGAGTTTCAGGACTTGAAAGGCTGCCTGTTTGGCTCAACATAACAGCGGAGCGTTTAAAAGTAAAGGCGACCATGTAGAAGAGGAACCAGACTTATAAAAGGGTAAGGTCTCTGAACGCAGCAGTGTGGACTCTATGGCCTCTGTAGTGTGTCTCAGAGGCCTCCGCCACACTGGACTGGATCTTGCAGCGGTCACGTTATTTAGAAACCAGAGGTCTGCTGTGCCATCACCGCCTGGACCATTTATTATAAATGTGGGTTCTAGAGCTTCGCCAGAGGATCCACTTGGAATGGTGAGGGTGGGAAGCAGGACTCCCCAGGTACTTCTGGTTTCATCCAATCTTGGAAATCAGGGAACTGTTTCTAGTTGCAGGTTTTCCAGATAAGTATACTTCAGGTTGCCTTATCGGACTGTCAATATTTGCATTCATAAACCAACACAAAAAGTGTTTTGACTTCCAAATATGAGGTGTAGTGTAAGAAGTTTTGGAGGTAGTTACGTGGGAGAGAAGACTTCTCTTTTGTTTTTGTTTGGTACCGGGGATCGAACTCACCACCTCACATTTGCCAGGCTGGTGCTTGTGCCCCTGAGCTAAATAAATCCCCAGCCCAACTTTTTCTTTTTTGCTTTAGAATTTCTTTTGTTTAGCCTAGCACATTAAGGTAAAAATTAATAGGGAGGGCAAAGAATGCTTTCTAATACAAGATTTGAAGCAGACTCTTACTGTCATTTGAACAGAAAAACAACAAAAGAAAAACTTCAAAGCTTTAAAAGACTCTTGTAGATTTAAACATTGGGGCTGAACTACGTTGATTTCAGGTATAACCTGCTTTTTGATGTTTAAAGTTAGGAACTGGGTTAGGAGGAGGAATTGTGCATGTGTATGTGCGTGCGTGCGTGCGTGCGTGCGTGCGTGCGTGTGTGTGTGTGTGTGTGTGTGTGCATGTGTATGTATGTGTTCTGCAAAATGTTTGTTGCTCCCCAGGGGCCCTAAAGTTGGAATGTGTCAGGGAAGTACACCTAGGCAGGCAGAGGAGAAATCTGAGTCCAGATTGTTGTAAAAATCATGAAAGTTGAAAGAAGGAGAAAGGAAAGAAAAAGAGGAGAAACTGCACAGCCTTAGGAAAGGCTGAGGGCCGCCAAGGATGACCCAGCACACAGGAGGCAGGAATCTGGCTGGTTTAAACAGAATCGCATGTGTGGATGCTGAGGTTTGCTGGGTTTGCTTCTGGAGATGAAAAGCTGTGAAGTCCAAAGCCAGGATGCTACTGCCCACAGTCAGGGGGCCTCTGTGCATCTGATGCTTCTTGGGAGGTTTTAGAGATCCTCTGAGATCCCAGCTGAATATGAAGCTGCCTTCCAGCAGAGTAGCTGAGGGGAAGCCTTGGGGCGGGGCTGGGTTCCAGTGGAATGTTCCAGGGAGGCCCTGCAGCCAGCTCCAGGGCCCTGGTCCCCAGTTTCCAGGATCAAGGGTGGAGATGGGCTTTGGCATCTCCAGAGCACCTGGGGTCCCAGGCTCTGACACCAAACAGTGAGTCTTTGTGATGCCCCACAGGGGAAGATATTTGCATAGATTAGAAGTAGAAATCTGTCTTTCATTTGCAGGCAACCGGTGAAGGAGGCGACCATCTGTTGCTTAAGAAATAAACCTTTGTCTGGAGCCAACCAAACTTGTTTTCAGCCAACACATGTTTGCCTTGGTTTGGCTCCTTCTGGCGAAGAGGAACGCAGGTTCTATAGCATTAGTCACGAGCAGCGATTTCTTCTCTCTGAATGCGGACAAAGAGTCCAGAGTTAGTACAGGGATTTTAGGGCTTGGGGCATGGATGCAAACCTGTATTCTTGGCTGAGGATACATAGAAGTAAAAGGAAGGTATATTTAAAAAGTGTTAGTTTCACTTCTTGTCTCCAGACAGCTCCACCCAGCCTGGAAACGTCCAGGTTAATAAAGTGTTCTGAGCTTTGCAAAGCTTTGAGAGTGATGAATTAGAAAGCTTTTTTGACATTAGTGTGGTAGTCTGTCTCTTCATTCTTCACCATCTCAGGACCAAGTATCTCCAGAGTGCAGGGAGGCGGCTAAAATACAAGGACCACGTTGGAGAAGAAAGGAACGATTCTGCTTTAAGGTGGCAAAAGATATTCAGAGGCAAGCACAGCTTAGGGGGAGTACAAATAAAATAGGGAAATTCTGATGGGATTCTAGAAGTGCAAAGAAAAACTGGCAAAAAACAAAAAAAGGACCTTGTAGGAGACAGCTGGGGGTGAGTCATGAAACCATAGGAATCAGGGAGATTAAGAACCTCTGAGACTATTAACCTCTACTTGTACTGTAAGATATATTACCTTGGGGCTTTAAAAATGTTAGTTTCCCCCTTCGGCTAAAATGACTCAAGGGATTGGACCACCACGATTTTTTTCCATTTTGCTCTGTTTCTCCTACTCCTTTTGGCCAGACTTTCTGTTCAGCAAGAGGACGCTGGCTCACAGTACATCTTCCCCCACTCTCCTCTTGACTCTAAGGAAATATTTTTGTAATGTGTTTTAAAGATTTGCATAGCAACAGGCTCTTTATAAACACATGGTTTTCAGATTTTTCTGGACCCAGAAAGAAAAAGAAAAGATGGTCTGTGAGAGGTGGAGAAATTCTTAGTCAAACAGAAGGAAATGTAATAATAGCAAGGGGCAATCAGGAAACTGCTGGCCACCATCGCTGCGTTTGGTGTAGGGCTGGGATTTTCTGGACCCTTCCTCAAGCAGGGAAGTCCCTCATTTTTGAAGACTATGAAGAACACTTTTCCAAGACAATTCTGAAGAATGAATGGAGGATTTGAGATTTGGATGGCTGAGTGCCGCCATGGATTAAAAATTTCTAAGGTTCTAAGCCATGCTGGTTCTTTTACAAGACACGTCTGTGTCTGTATAACCCCTGATGAGCTGTGTGTTGTAGATAGCAGTGGAGCTTCTCTCTGTCCCAGTGAGGTCCTCGTCACATCGCTTCCTTTCCCAGGATGCATTGCCGTGGGGCTGTCCACCCTGGCAGTGTGAGCGCCCTGCAGAATTGAATGGCACCTCTGCTGCTCCTGCTGCATCCTTGGCCTAGCACAGTGCTCAGGCAGAGCTGCAGGGGTCCCACATCAGCCCCTCTGCTGCCCCCTGCCCCGAGAGGACACACCCACTCCTGCCCCAGCCCTGGCCTACGTGGCCCCGTCCTCGTCTGCTGGATAGCACAGCCTAGCAGTTATTTCCAAGAGGATTTTTAAAATACTTCGTCTCTGTATGGACTTGCATGGGGCATTCTTCAGTGTTCACGTGGCTCCTGCCAGGGAAGAGCTGGCTGGACCAGTTGTCTTCCCACCGCTGGGAGGGCCTGCCCACATTTCAAGTGCTGAGGCTTAGGGGGGTGACTGAGGCAGGAAAAGTGCTCTCTGGGTGATGGAGAGTGTGACAGTGAAGTTTGATTATTATGTATTTGGACGGAGAGGGGTCCTTCGGTAGCAGGCGTATAGATGGCAAAGCCTGGTTAGGGGGAGCCCC